GGTTCATTTTTCTTTGCATCCCCAGCACTGAGCACGGGGCCTGGCATACAGCAGGAGCTCAGAGGTGGAACTTCAGGCTCTCAGCACCTATGATGGGGACCTACCATGTGCAGACAGCTGTGTCCTCTCCCTCCCCATCCTTCTATCTCCTTCCTCCAGCACCTGCTGGGGATCTCCTGATGCAGCGAGATGTGCGGAGACTCCAAGGCAGCCTGTGAAAGGCCAATCCCAGGCCAGCCCTGCCCGCTGTGTTGCAGGGAGAAGGGAAGGAGAGGGGATCCTTCCGCATGTCCCCGTAACTCAAATGAGGACCCAGGCTTACAAAAAGCACTCACGCTGGTGACCCAATTTCATCTCCCAACGCTGCTCGGCAGTCCAGGCATTACTGCACCCCCATTTGGCAGAGGTATGGGATTTGCACCAAGATCTTCAGCCTCCAGATGCAGCCCCTAGCCCAAGCTTCCACATATCTGCTGGGGTCTTGGTCCCTGAGTTAAGCTCTGAGGTTCTGGGAGAGCTCAGAGGGGCTGGGGGCTGAGAGAGTGGGAGAAGAGCTGGGGTGGGAAGGGACCGGGAGGCGTAGGGCAGGGCCGGTGGGGTGAGGGGCAGAGGCAGCAGGGCCACGGGCTGGGCCGCTGGAAGGAGCAGGACCGCCCAGTGGGAATCTGACAACCTCAGCTCCTCTCTGAGGAGCACTGTCACCTCCTGAGCGGGCAAACAGTGCGGGGTGAGATTGGGGACTAATGAGTGTTTTCCAGCGGGTGATTCCTCTATGTGGGGTCTATCTTCCTGGGTCATCGCTCTGCAGTGTGCACTTAGCAGGGTAATAGCAGCCTGGTCTGGGTTCCTGCCTACCCACTGGCCCCAGGGCCCTGCAAACAGATGGCAGCAGATGAGGGAGAGGAAGGCAGGAATAAGCAGGAGCAGTGTGCCCCGCCTCCACCCTGCTTCCCTGTCCCCGGTCACTGTGGTGGGGGGGCGGGGGGGCCCCCAGACACACGGGGGTAGCTCCCCTCATGGCACGGCCTCACATCCACCCAGACCGTCATAGACACCCGCCCCCTCCCAGTCAGCCCCTGCCCAAGCCCACGAGGCCCCCTCGCTAGCCTCTGTGCTTGGTCCCTCACACATCTTCCTCTTGTGCATGCTGCTCCTCCTCTGTCCTCGGGAAGCCGAAAAGGGAGAGGGAGGTACAGTGGACCCAGGACACCCCCAGTGTGAGGCACGGTGCTTCATGTCCATGGGGGCTTCTAAATCCCCATGACCACACTGGGGTAGGGGTTATTTTTAGGTGACAGTTGAAGGTGCTGAGGCTCTGGGAGGTTAAATGACTTGCTCAAGGTCACCCAGTGTGGTAGGCGGTATATTGGATCCCCAAAATGTCCACGTCCTAATCCCCAGAGCCTGTGAGTGTGTTACCTTATGTGGCAAAAGGGACTTTGCTGACGTGATTAAGGATCTTGAGACTATCCTGAATTATCTGGGTGGACCCAGTGACATCACAAGGGTCCTTTAAACGTGGCAGAGGAAGCAGAAGAGTGACGCTGTGAGAAAGACTGGACTAGTTGAAGATGGGAGGGGAGCCACGGAAGACGGGTGGTCTCTAGAAGCTGGAAAAGGTGAGGATGTGGATCTTTGTCTAGCACCCTCAGAAAGAGTGCAGCCCTGGTGGCATCTGGAGTCTAGCTCCTTGAGACCCATTTTGGACTTCTGACCTCCAAACTGTAAGAGAATGAAATTGTGTTATTCGAAGGCCCTAAGTTCATGGTAATTTGTTACAGCAGTGTCAGGGAAGGGACACAGCCAGCTAGCAGCAGAGCTGGGATCTGAACCCAGGTCTCAGCCCCACTCTGCCCCCTTCCACCTTACTGTCTGAGGACTGAGCTCTGCCCTCGCTCCAGCTCCAGGCTGCCCGTCTGTCTGCCCTCACTCACACTGACTGAGCTGAGAGTTGGCCCCACAGTGGGGGCAGGAAAGCCCCTTGGAGTGGAGGGTGGGAGGGAAGAGGCTGGATCTCAGGCGCTCTCCTCCTCCTCCAACCCCAGCTTCCCTTCCTGTCTCTCCCCTACTGGGGGCTCATGAGTTCTTAGACACAGGCCTACAGTAGCCCATTTCTTGGGGGTTCAAGTAAGGCAGGGCAGGCACTAGCCCTTAGGGCTGGGGGTGAGGAGGGGTCTCTAGTGTGAAGGCCCATGTGGTCCCTGCCCTTAGGGCTCGCACGGCCGCCTGCTTCTGCACTTTGCGGGTGTCTCCATCCTGGTCTGTCCTTCGAAGCAGAGAGTGAAGGGGCTGGAAGGGGGTGTCTGGGAGTCTCTCCTCTGGGACCCCAGCGGTCTGTATGTCCATCTCGGGTGAAGGGAGAGATCTGTGTGTCCTGGTCCCTGGATGTGGGAGGATCTGGGGGCCCTGCCCCTCTGGGATGTGTGTGGGGCATCTCAGATCCTGTGAGCTCTCTGGGCAGATTGTCTGTAGCTCCTGGGTGTGTGTGTGAATATGTGAGGGTGCAGGTGTGAGAATTTGTGTCTACTCACATCCCTGTGTGTGTGCCTACTCATGCCCCTTGTGTGTGTGCATGTCTACTCACACCTCATGTGTATCAGTGAATGTGTTGCTGTGTAAGTGTGTGAACGTGTGTGTGCCGACACCCACCTGTGTGAACATGTGAGTGTGCAAGTGTGTAAGTGTGTCTACCCATGTTCCTATATATGAGTGTGAACATGTCTACTCGTGCCCCCGTGTGTGAACAAGTAAGTGTGTAAATATGCAATCATGCCCACTCATGTCCCCATATGTGAATGTGCAAGTGTGCCTACCCAACCCCTGCGTGTGAATGTGTGAGTGTGCAAGTGTGTCTATTTATGTCTCAGTATGAGTGTGTGACTATGCAAGTGTGTGGATGTGTCTACTCACACCCCTGGATGTGAGTGTGCGAGTGTATCTACTCACAGTTCTGTTTGTGAGTGCGTGAGTGTGTGCTTCCCCCAGCGCTCCGCCGGCATTGCCTCACCCCTGTGACACAGCCACTAATGACTGTTTGCCATTGTCTGTGCGGTGGTGGCATCACCTGTGCTAATGACAGTCTCCCGGCCTAATGACCTAGCTGCTGCCCCATCATTTAGGAGCCACAGGAGCACTCGGCCATGGGCCAGAGAGATGTTGACGAGCTCGACACATTTCCCACTGTGGTGTCAGTGGGGGTGGGGAGAGGCAAAAATCCCACCCTCCCCCGCAGCTGTGGGGTGCCGTGTGGGCTGGGCATTTCAGCTGGCTGATGGCATTCCTGGGTGGCGAGCCCCAGGTCTGGGCCCTGCCCTCTGCGTCTGGCAGGACTGGGTGGCTGCTGCCTTGCTCCCTGCTGCCCCTTCCCACAAGGTGCCCTGGACCCCCAGCAGCTAGCCCACATCAGCTCCCACAGATGGGGGTCTGCCTTCCCCACACCAAACCCCCCAGGCCCTCCTCACCTCTGCAGATGAAACAGACCCCTGAGTGGGCCTATCTGTGCCCCAGAGGTTCTGGTCTGGGGCGGCCCCTGGGGTTTGTGGGGGTCTGGGGCAGCCCGGGAGTTTACAGGGTCTCAGGCAAGCCGCCCTGCATGGAGTCCCACTGCTGAAGCCTCGTTTGCTGACCCCACCAACATGTTTTTTACGATTGAAACTGAGTTAACACAGCCTTCTGGACACAAAGCAGGAGCTGGGGAGGGGCTGCAGCTGCCCACCCCACCTCCCCCCCGTCATGAGCCCACAGCACTGTGTTCATGCTTTGCTTCAGCTTTGAACCCACTCCGCCCTGCGGATGTCTCCCACTGCCGGGTCGGCCTCCTCCTACGTAAGTCTACCTAGATAAGCAGGTAAGCTTAGCACTCTTCCTGGCTCAGCAGGGACTCACTGAAAGCTTTCTGGGTTAGTGAGTGCACCCCTGGAACCAGCTGTGTGACCTTGAAGTGACTTGCAGTGTCCTCTGAAGAAGGGGGATGCAACAGCGCCCGCTGCAGGCTGGTTTACTTATACCCGCTCCAGTCTCTGCCACCCACTTCAGGTGTTCTTATTGTGCCCCTTTTACAGATGGGGGATCAAGGTGCAGAGCACTTCCATCAGTCCACACGATCAGCAGGTGCTGGAGCTGAGATCCCCCCCAGGGTCAGTCTCCCCGTACATCCTGCTGGAGCGTTGAGGGAAAGGCCTGGGTGTGTGGTTGGCGACACAGCATTAGCACTCAGTCTGGTGCCAGAGGCCGGGAAGAGGGGACCTGCTCTCGGAAGGGTTTGCTGTGCTCCAGAGGGAGAAGCGTCGCTTGAGGAGAAGCTGACCTCTTCCAGGTTCTCCCCAGAGATTCCTGGCCTGATACCACCCTATTGGGGCCTCCCTCACAATCAAGGCAAGGACTGGAACATGGGGAGAAGCTGCTCAGTGTTTCATTAGTGAGTTTGCTTGGTTATCAAGAGGAAGAAATTGCAGGAAGAGAGATGACTTAGATTCCAGAGTCTTCCGTGGCACTCGTTAAGGGCAGGGACTGATTCTTAGCAAAATGGGCTTAATGAACACAGGGACTCGCAGCTAGAGATGGTCAAGGAATATGTCACTTTATGAGGACATTTGTAAGGGACACATATACAGGGCCCCTGAAGACAGGGAGAACTCTGGGTTTGAGTGCCAAGGGGACGCGGTCTAAGCAGTGGTCAGAGGTGGGTGGGGTTGGCCCGGGGAGGTTTCCTGGAGCAGGGGGTGTGGACTGGGTTGGGGAGGGACAAGGCTTTCCTTGGGGTGGGGGCAGTGGGGAGAGCAGCAGGCACCTTGTGTCCCAGTGGCATCGTCATTCTGGAAGCAGCCACTGGCTCAGTGACCTGGTACCCTGGGAATTTGCCCTGCCTCCTGGGTGGGGATGGTCTAGCCACATGCCTGCCCAGCCCACTTGGAAATGGCATGGAAATGTGGTGTGGCCTTGAGCCAGGTCCTCTTCTCCAGGGAATTTGGCCCCATTTTGGCCTGAGGTCCCTGGGGTGTCTTTTCTCGGTGTCTGGGGAAAGATGAGGGAGGAGTGTGGGGCCTGTGGGGATTCTGAGAAGTGAAGGGGGTGCTGCTGTGGCCTGCTGCCACCCCCTCAGGGGTCAGGGTGCCAGTGGGGAAGAGGACAGGCCCGCAGTCACCCCGTCCCCACGCTTGGCTGCTTTGGGGTTGGCCTGGGGTGGTGGAGAGCAACTTCAGATTCACAGGGCTCCTGAGTGGGACAGGCCCTTAGTCTACCCCCTTCCTTTGCAGAGAGGGGCCTGCAGGGCCAGGAGTTGGGAGGGAAGGAGAGACTGGGGGGGTCAGGGTAGGGTAGACCCAGGATTCAAGGAAGAGGCATTGCTGTGGTTTTCCAGGCGTTCCCCGGAGGGTGGCCAGTGCATCCCAAGCCTGGGCCAAGGTCCGAGGTGGGGACAGCAGACACACCTTGGGCACTGGGGCTAGGGTGGTGGTTGAAGAGGGAGAGGGGAGGACCCCGGGTGGCTTCCTGTAGGAGGGGTGGGCCATGAAGCAGGGTGGAGCAGCTGGAATGGGTGGGGGCTCCCTGGTGAGGAGGGGGAGGCGTGTGTAGGGAGCCTGGCTGAGACGACAGTGAGGTGGGGTGCAGGAAGAATGCCCTGAGGCACAGAGCTCTGGGCGCCAGCTGAATCAAGAGGTGAAGGGAGCCCCTGACAGTCCAACAGGGCTTCTGGCGCAGGTGACTTCACTCCTGGGACCACGAGGGCCGAGGCCCGGGGTTACCACTGGGTCTCACCGTGCTGTGTTCCAGGAGCTGCAGTCTGTCCACCCCGGGCTGGGTGGAGGGTCTCTTGAGCCCAGCAGTGGATTTTGCGGTGGGTGGAGGGGAGCTCCTGGGAGGCGCGTCCTGGGGTGGGCTGGGGAAGGAGGGGTTGGGGATCAAGCTACGGGAGAACTTCGGCACTGGGGTTGCCTCCTGCTCTGTCCTCACCTCTAGAGATGCCCTGAGATGAGGGCGGAGGCGTCGACTTGGGGATTCAGAGTCCCTGTATAACTGGCAGTTAGAGCGTGCCTGCAGCGGTCTCAGGAACGACTGTGTTTGGCCATCGTCTCCAGCCCAGGAAACTCTCCACGCTTCCAACAGCAGCATCCTGTTTAGGGCCAGCAGTTTGGAGCAGAGAGAAGCCAAAAGAGATGCGAAAGGAGAGACTGACCCTTGGGGAAGAAGAGAGAGTCCCCCCTCCCCTCATCCACTGTCCTCTGGGGACCGGGGGGCAGCATGACGGGGCCTGGGAGGGGGAGCTGAGACAGGGGTGCTGGGTCACTAACCAAAACCCTCACATGGAGGCCGGGGGGACTTCGTGTCTGAGCCTTGTGGGGGTGGCTCTGCTGTTGGCCCTCACAGTTTTCCCGCCTTCTGGTCCTTGGGCTCTGTGCCCAGGCCCTGCTGTCATCACCTGCTCCCTGAGCCAGCGCCTGGCAAAAGCAGCCATGAGGTCATGGGGCGGGGTAAGTTGGCATGCCCCCCATCTCTGCTGGAGCCTCGGCAGGTGCATGGCGGAGCTCTGGGCCTGGCGCCTCGGTAATCTCCCTCCTGGCCCCGTCCCCTTCCAGGGAGGTGGCTCCTTCAACCAGCCAGTTTGAAGCCTCATCCACCTTGGTCCCCAGACTCCAACAAAAGGTGCAACACTGGCTTGTGCCATGGCATGAAGGCTTGAGGTTAGGCTTCAAGAAGGACTTCCTGCTCGGAGGCTGGAATGGTGGGATGAGGGAAGGGCGAGTTAAGATGAAGGACCATGTCAATAATAAGTGTGGCGCTCCTCCTTGCGGGTTTGTTCTGTGTCCTGCTCCGAGAGAGGTTCCTAGTTCTCATGTCATCTTCACCACAACCTTGCAGAACATGGAAATGCAGGCCAAGTTTTCTCAGCCAGTAAGCGGGGGAGCTCCAGCTCTGGGATCCATCTTGAGGGTCCAGGGAGGCAGGGCCCCCGAGGACCATGTGGGCCCCCAGTGCTCACTTATTCCTTCATTTAGCGTCAGTGGTGAATAAGGAGAGGGGCAGGAGTTGGAGGTCAAACAGGCAGGAAAGAGAAGAGGTGAGTTCCCCTACCAGAGGGTGGAGGTCAGCTATGCAGGGGTGGGGGCACTGATTCTGTCTGGCGCCTCTTGAGTCAGAAAGGAAGCGCGCGCGTCAGCACAGCAGCAAGAAGGAGTGAGGTGAGACCGCAGGACCTTCTGACTTCGGGGCTGCACGTCATCGGCATGTGAAGGGCGTGTTCTCTGGCGAGGGAGAGAGTTGTGAAGGGCTCAGTATGGAGGTGGGGAGATGGATGGCCTGATTTGGGGGTCTTTCTGCAGGCATTTGTGTGTGTGCGTGTGTGCACGTGAGTGTGCATGCGTGTGCACACATACAGGTGTCCACAGTCTCTAGTGATACAATTTCTGCCCCTCCAGTGGCATCTGTATTGGTGTATCACAGGCGCTTAAGAGAGAATGTCCTCTTTGCTAATGGTCCGGAATGTACTCTATATTTGGGTGCAGTCCTGTCTTGACTGCGGCCCATTCTTGTTCCCCAAATGTCCTCCAATTTGGTACACCTCTCATTCTAATCCCAACACCCTACACTTACTCCCAGGAAGCTTTCTCTGCCCCTTCTCTAAGGACCCCCGTTCCCTTCCCCTGCCCGAGGATCAGCTGGGGTCTCAGCTTTGACCTGTGGTGGGCATAGCCTATTGCTCCCCCGTGAGCCCACTGTTGCGTCTTGACCACTCACTGCTGCATTCCAGCTCCCACAGCACTGGACCCACCGTAGCGAGCCCACACATGCTCACAGCACGGGTGAATGGAGACAGGGATGTGGGGCAACTCCTGGCATGTAACTGGGGCCAGCCCTCGGGTGTGCCCTGCCAGGGGACGTGTTGCCAGTTGGCACGTCTGCTCTTGGTGTCCAAGCCTGTGCCCTAGGTCAGTGGATCTGGGGTCAGATCCTGTGTTTTAGGTCCTAGTGGCCACATACACAGTCAGAATCCTAGGATGTCAGGATGGGTGGGACCCCAGGGACTGTCAAGGCATGAATCATCTATCCTTCATGTACAGAAAAGACATGTCCCAGAGAGGGAAGGGCCCTGCTCAAGATCACACAGTAATTTGGGGGACATTGCAGGTCTCCTGCCCCCCAGGCCAAGCCCTTTCCACCGTATCACGCTGCCTCCCTAATTTTTCCCTCTCTTTTTTCTCTTGTTTCTGTACTTTTCTTAGGCTTCCCCTCTCCAGGTCGCCCATCCAGACCCCACCATCCCTGGAGGCCAGGCTGGCCCTCCTCCACTCTGGGCCCCGCCCACCTCTCTCCTCGGCGGTCTGCATCATTAGCAGCCAGTCCTGCTCATTCCCATTCTCTAATTGTCTGGAACACAAATTAGTGCTTTATTGCTTGATGCTCTAATGACCTGGGTTCTAACCGGGCTCGATTGCTTCCCGGCTGCATGACCTTGGGCTAGTTACTTAACGTTCCTAATCCTCTGTTTTCTCATCTGTAAAATGGGGCAGGCGTGTGAGCCCCAGGGAAGAGCAGAAGCGAAGCTCAGAGGGCTCCCCTTGGAAAATGTGAGACTGAAATCTGCGGTGCTATGGGTGTGGGCGGGGTGGCCGTGGAAAGGTAGGCAGGCATATCCTGGGGAGCTTCTGCTCCTGGCAGTGGGGAGCCCTTGAGGCTTTTTTGGAAGGGAAGTAGCAACCCCCCACCCAGAGTTTGGGGTGGTTGTGAAACGGGTTGGAAGGGGTGCGGCCTTTGGAATCGGTGGCTCTGGATTTGCATGTCAGCTCCACCACTGGCTAGCTGTGTGATGCTGCACAAATTGCTAGGTCTCTCTGAGCTTCCTTTTTCAATCTGTAAAATAAGGATGCTATCTACCCCATAGATTTATGGGGAGGATTAAACAGGAAAACATCTACCAATTGCTTGGCTTGGAGTCTGGTCCTTAGTAAGTGCTTAACGAGGAGTAGCCATGATTACTGTGTTGCTGTCATCATCCGACAGCACGTGTCAGCCCGCACCCTGGCCTGGCTTGTCCCTGTGTCTGTCTGGGCTGCGGTGACAGGCTCGTTCCTCGCTTTCCAGTCAGAAGCTTCCTAAGGGCAGGGCCCTTATGCATCAACTCCTTGCTCCAGCTGCTCCAGGAAGTGAAGGAGCTGGGAAAGCTGTTGGGAAGAGGGTGATGTCATCTTTGTGGCCTCTGGGTGGCTCCGCAGAGGCAGGCGGTGGGAGGGGGTCTCAGGCCCTCTTGGAGCCTGAGGGGATTAAGGGAGCTTAGTGGGACAAGGTGTGCCTCCAACTTCCTTGCTGGGCTGCAAAGCCCACTCTCCTGGGGACAGTCCTCGGGGGCCTAGGCCGTGCAGGGGCCTGCCACCGCTGGTGAAGCCTGCGAAGAGGGGCCGGTGCAGCTCCCAGAGAGGGAGCATGGGGGTGGGGCGGAGGGGAAACCGACTGCCAGCTGCCCTGCTCCGCCTGAGCGCCTCTGTGGCCTGCACTGTGCAGAGGAGAGGGGAGCAGACGCCCCATCCCTGAAATGGTTAGAGTCCCATCATTATTGACAATAGTTATAAAACACCTACTAGGTGCTGAGGATGGTCACTGGGCCGAGAGTCACCGGGTCCTGCACACACAGAGGGGGATTCAGATGGGCCTTCAAGGGGAGAGCCCTGGGGGCTCTGGGAGCTCTGAGAGCTGCGCGTGCCCCTCCCGATGGGGGTGGGAGGCTGTGCCGGGCAGGCGAGCCACGGCCTGGAAGCACTCGTGTGGTTGGTTGTGGTTGGAGGTCCCTGGGTGTGTTACAGGCGGGGACGGTGGGTAGAGATGAGTCCAGAAAAGTCGGCAGTGTGGTAGATGTGACGTTAGGAGTGTGCACTGAATCTCCAGGGGAGTGGGGAGCCACTGAAGGGTTTTTAGGCAGGGGAGAGGGGTGGTCTGATGCAGGGGCCATGCTGTGGGAGCGAGGAGGGATGGGGTGGTCTGACTTCAGGTTTCAGGGAGGAGGGAGTGATGAGGGGGCCGTGTGCTCCTGGGGAGGGGCGGGGATGGGCTGCATGTGTGGGAGGGGTGGGCCTCCGCTGGCAAGGCATTTGGAGCCCAGGTGGGTGTGTGAGTGGGATAGAGGGCAGACACTGTCAGGGCTCTGCTGGCGGGGGAAGGCTGAGGCAGAGGACCGGAGCTGGAGGAAGAGCTGGCCAGGGGCCTGACCATGGCCTTGGCTGTGCCACATCCTCCCTTTAGGCCTCTAAGGCTGGTCTGCTCCACAGGCCCTCAGACACGAGCTGCCACCTCTTGGAAGCTCCGCGCTCTTATCTGAACAGTGGAGGGCACAACGCCTTTCCCTCTGCCCCTTGGACTATCTGATTGATGAACAGTCACTTCCTCCATCTGGGCCTGAGTTCCAGGGCGCAGAAACCTGGAGAAGCTCAACAGGACCTGCTGGCTACCACATGGCCCGAGGTGGGCTCTGGGAGTGATGACAAAGCTCTTAGAGTGCGTTGGAAGGGGCTGGACGGATGGAGGTTCTGGAAGTGTGTTGGGGTGCAGAGCTGCTGGGTGAGGTCTTCCCAACGCCTCCTTTGCTCCCCTGAAATCTGAGCTGCTCTCTCAGAACCTTCCAGCTGGCCACCCAGTCCTGTGAGAGTGGAACCAGGTGCCCCAGGTCTGGGAGGACGGGGAAGGTGGGGTGACAGCTTAGGCACAAAGGGGTGAGAACCCTGGACTCGCCCAGCTCTGGACGTCTCCGAGTCTTTGCTTTTTACGGCTCGTCTCCTGACTCCGCAGAGCCCTGAACAGGAAGAAGTAGGCCGACCAACCCCGGGCATGAGGGATTCGGGCCCCTTCCAGCTCTGTCTCAGGGTTCCCAGCTTTTGCCACACCCCGGGGGAGCAGAGGAGTGAGTGGGGTCCAGACACGCTCACACGCCAGTGTCGCCAGCCGCCCTCCCGGGGCACCTGCCGCCGGGGTCTTGTTGGAAGTTGTCCTCATGTGGGTGTTGGGCAGGTGGCAGGTTGGGGCCAGCCAAGGTGTTGAGGCAGAGTACGTCCCCAGGGGATTGCTCCCAGCAGGGCCAGGGTAGTGGGTGGTGCAGTCAGCCCAGGAGCAGGGGAAGTGAGCCCCCCACCTCATGGTTCCTGGTCCTGGAAAAGACGCCCGTGGCCCTGTCTCCGTGCATCCTCTTTTCCTTTCTCTTCTTCCTTCTTCTCTCTCTCCCTCTCCCCCTGCCTTAACTCCTGCCTCCAGCTTCCCTTCCGTCTCTGGCACTATCCTTTCCGACTCCTTCCATTTCTTTCTTCCCCAGCCCTTCCCATCTCCTCTTCCCCCTCACTACCTCCTCAGCTTCCCTCTCCCGTCTCCTCCTTGTTCCCTCTGCTTCTCTTCCACTCACTCGCCCCCACTCAGACTCTCCCCTCCCTGAGTTCAAGCTGCCCGTGCTCCCCTCCTGGGGTCCCCTCGGCAGGAGGTCATCCAATGCACCACGGGCTGTCTTGTCCCCATGATGTCCCCCTCCTCCTGAAGGCTGGCCAGGCCCAGCCCACTGTCTGCCTCAGGCCGGCGGGAAGACCGTGCCCGAGGCCAGCTCTCGCCCTTTGGAGCCCAGGGCTGGGGCTGTAGACGGAGAGCAGCGGCTCCTGGAGGTGAGGCTGGGACTCCCGGCTGCCTGCCAGCTTCAGCTCTCTCCCGCTCGTATTCTCACCCCGGCATCCTGAAGGTCCCACCTTTTGTCTGGGGGTGTGCGTGAGTGTGTGAACAGGGTGTGGACAATTGGGCATTCATGCATGCATGCGTGTGTCTGGTGCAGGCGTGTGATTTGAGTGTGTACATCCTGCTGGGTGTCTGTGTCTGTGCAAGTGTAGAGTGCACACACGAGCGTGTGAATGGAATGTGGGCCCTGGGGCGTTTTGCCCATTAGCCCTTTGTGTACCTGAGTGTGCGTACCCCAGAGAGCACGTAGGGTAGGGGAAGGGCACACGTTTTCCGGGTATGTGGAGGAGCTTGAGGGCCCCCAAGTAGGGGCTCCTCTGTGCCCGGGGGCACCCATGAGTGTGGGGATGGCATGAAGACACGTGAGGTGTGTGTGAGGGAGAGAGGGGGCTGCGAGTGTGTGCACGGGGCTCTCACAGCGTGCCCCTGTGTCCGAGAGGGCCTGACTGCCTGTGTGGGTAGACACACGTTTTCACCGCAGTGTGGGGGACAGGAGACCCTCAGGAGGGTGCCCCTTTGGGTCTGTGGTGCCAAAGACACGTGTGAGCAGCGCAGAGGGCCTGGGGGCAGCTGCCTTCGCGTACAGGTGGGGACTAGTCCTCCTGGGCCAGGGCGGGGCCAGGCTGAAAGGGGAAGTAGTTAGTGGTTTATAAGCTTTTAAAGAGATGCCTCAGCCCCCCATCAGGCCCAGACTCAGTGAGTCCCACGCGTCCTCAGGCCTGACGTCAGCCAGGTACCTGAAACCACAGGCACGAGAGGAGGCTGCCTCCCCCGCCTGCACCCACCTCGGGCTGAGGCTAGGGGAGAGCAAGCTCGCCTCCTGCCCTGGACCACCTGCTGGTGCAGGGACGCAGTGCCCAATGGATGCTGGGTCCCAGCCAGAGACCCCTCCCCCGAGGCAGCCTGCCAGCAGGAAGTGGGGAACCTGTCTCTACCTTGGTGGACCTGGGGTCCAGGTGTCTCCTTTCCCAGCCAAGCCTGGCTCCTCCAGGAGAGCTGGGTGGGCTTCCCGCAGGCTGCCC